CCAGCGCCAAGAAGCGTCCCGCGGCTGCCAGTCCAGCACACGCGTCTGCTAAAAAAAGTTGCGAAGAAAGCTCCGAAGAATTCAGACTTCCCCGAAATGCCAAAGCATGGGTCAGTGCACGTCGGCAAGGGGAAGGTCAGCCCCAGCGCCTCAAAGGGGGGCTGGCGCGCGTGGCCTGATCGTGCTGCCGTGGGCCAGGAGAAGTGTTTTAAGTTCGGCAGCAACAAACGTGTCTCTTTTCAGGCTGCCGTTGACTACATCAGGTCTTTTTAGTTTCAGGCTTGTCCTCGAGTAGCCAGCTCAGCTTACTTGCTTGAGCAGCCATGGGGTCGGCTGCATGCAAAGTCCGCTCAGGCAGCTGGCAGTCGCTAGTGCGCATGCGTGCCCTGTCGCATGTCGTAGGCACGCTCAGAACACATCAGTGCAGAATACTCCTCAGGACCACCTGTGATGTAAAAATGTTCCTGGGTTGGGGTCGCAAGGACGCCCGTCGCGCAAGGTCCGATGCATGATTGAGCACGCGTGGCTTGAACCAAATTGGCAACGGATGGTGAGGAGGAGGAGTAGGATGAGGAGGACGGGGGAGATAGGGATGAGGATTAGATTGAGAAATATGATGATGAGAAGCACGCACGTTTTTCAAGTCAGGTTGAACAACCACCAAATGGAGTGGACTGACGAGGAATGTGATGAGGGAGAGGGTAAGAAGGAAGAGGAGGAGGAAGGTGGTGACGGGGAATAACACGCGCGTTCCTTTCAAGTCAGCTTGAAACAAATCAGATGGATGAGAAAGGGGAGGAAGAAGAGACATAAGAACAAGTGTAAGACACCCCGTTCGGATTTCCATATGGTGGTGAAGCGCGTGAAACGAAGGAAGAATATACACGTGACGAGGCCCCCCCTTCCCAAAAGAAGACAACAAACGAGAAACGGCCTCTCTCCACCCCCCTTCTCACATCCGTAGCCGCCTGGGCACAAGGCGCGTGGTATCAGTTCCTGTCTCTGCGACCGTAATGGAAGAGAGGGCGAGAAAACTTCAACGAGTAAATGCCGCTCGGTATTCGATCCCTCATGCCCGTCAATCAGCGTTTGCCTCGATGTGCGCCTTGGCCAGGAAGGGGGAACTTCCAGCCATATCAACCAGTAAGAGTGTGCGGGAAGCGAGGGACTCGTTGGCCATTCAGACGACAGACTATGGAAAACTCATTGTTCCTCTGGACCTGATCACTGCGAAGGGGGAGCCTCTGAAGGTGGAAGTCGTGAACCCCCTCGCCTACCTCTCGCTTGCTAGTCGCAGCATTCACTTCGGAAAGCTCTTCGGGGAAACCTATTCCAGGACTTGCCTCTATACCTCAAAACCAAAGGGGGGGTCGGTCGAAAATACTTGTTCGCTTGCCCTCCTTCCTCTCTGTGCTCTCTTCGGCGTCTCCATCCTCAACCCCTTCGAGCTCCTACTTCTTCCTCGTTCTCATTCGTAGAACTCTGTCGAAGACGAAGACAGCCCTGCGAAACTGATTCGATGTTTCCCCTTGGAGGTCCCGAATCCCGAGCCTGATCGTGGCCAAACCAGTCGGCCTTTTTTTGTTGTTCAGATGTCGGCAAGCCCTCTTGGGCCCTCACCGCGGTTGTTTTGCTGTGGATTTATTTTGACAAGCCCTAAGCCTAAGGACCCCGTGCAGCCATCGCAACCCGTGGAGGATATTGTTGTGCAACGATGAGGCGAAGCCTGGGAACCGCCCCAAGCAGCAAAACAAAAGAGCATGTCAGAATGTTTACATATCGATCCTAGAATTTGGGGCCCATGCACTTGCCAAGGAAGACTTCTGGTTTGCTGTGGGATGCGCCAGGAGTTTAGATGTTGAGGCGTGTAATCCAGGTGGGACTTCACAACTGATTGGTGGAATACTCAAGCTCATGTTTGATCCTTCAGCTCACGATATCAGCCTTTCGGGGATCACGTTGCATCAGCCAGGAGGTAAATCATTTAAGTTGATTGCAAAAATTGGTTGCGTGCTCGGAGACGAATCGGCTCTGCATCAAATTTGGCAATGCAAAGGTTCAGCAGGAGTCAAATCGTGTTCCCAGTGTCAAAATGTAGTTAACAAGGGCTGGATGGCTTGCGGTGAATTGCAGGCACACAACACGTACATTCCATATCCTAAGGTTGATTCCCTCAAAGATTGCATCCCGCTGACAAAACCGATCCTCGAAAAAATGATGGAGAAGATTGGAAGCTCCACATCCAAAGGTTTGAAGGCTGAGAGAGAGACGATGTTTGGTTGGACACACAATCCTCACATCTTACTCCTACAGCCTCACATGAAAGACGTGATACATCCACTCGATCACAATTGTTCGACTGGGGTCACAATTGGTTGCAAGGCGTGTTCCAGGTGACAGTGTATCAATCGTTCAGGGAGATGTACAGTTCTTACAAAAAGGTGACCGAGAATATTTACGAGTTTGTGAAACAATATACATGGCAGTGTCGAATTTCCTCTCGATCAGCGACGGGAATCGAGATGTTCAATTTGAAGCGTTCGGAATCGTCTTGGGCCGCGGAGTCGTGGAAATGTTCTTGTTCAGAAGCGCTATCCATGCATTCGGTCCTCGCCCACTACTTCAGAACAAAGGTTCCTGATTGTGCGGTTCGCGATGTGATTCTATCGATGTCCGATGTGATTGGGCTGCTTTGGTATTGTCCGACACTGTCGGTGCCTGCCACAACAATAAATGCGAACGCCGTTGCTTCCATCAAGCACTTCAAAGCAGCGTTTGGGGAGCATCTCATGATATGGAAATTTCATGGGGTATTGCACCACGCCCAGACCGTGCAAGCCCTGGGGTGGAGCCCCCACACCATCACACTCGAAAGAAAACACAAGTTCGTGCTAAAATACGGTGAAGACCAGCAAGCTGATACTAGCAAGATCGTTCGTGAAATCGTTGCCAAGAGCTTGCGCGACTGGAACGAAGCCAAATGGCTTGACCTCTCGATCGGTTTGAAAAGCCCTGGGCGCACACACAAAAAAAAGAATTGCAGCACTAGTTGAGCATTTCGGTCCTGGTGAGTATGTAACGTCTTCCAAGGCTCGTTTTTCGAAGTGGGACTCTGCTGCTTCGAAGGATTTTGCTGCCATTCGCAAAGCCGCAGGCTTTTTTGTTGCCCAGGTAATTTTCTTTGCAGAATGCCATGGGCAACTGTATGCTGCCATCCAGCCCTACAGCCTAGTGGAACAATTCCAGAAGCATAGCATCTGGAAGAAAGGTTCGCGCCCGTGCTTTTCTTTAATGTGTGATTTCGTGGATGTCCTCATCCATTCTAGGGGGCCTAGCACTGTGACTGTGCTACATACACCATCCATCGCATGAGCATGTTCTCATCCTTTTTGCTTTCGGACGGGGCCGATTGCATCGAAGCTTACCTGCGCCTGTCAAAAAAAACAGAAGACTCAAAGAATTGCCTCGGGGCCTCAAGGAGAGCAATGTTTGCAGACGGTCGCAAGGAGTTCCCTACCCCATCCTACTCCCCTTTGCCCTTACTATCCCCCTCCTCGACTCGACCCCTCCCCCTCGATTTCGGATCCTGCGAGTGGGCGGAGGAATGGGGATTGAGGGGGCGAGGGCGGGATTTGGTAAGGAACTCTGCCGTTTCTTCACGCGTTGCTTGTGTGATTCTGCCATGGGGAATGTCTCCCAGCCGTTGTTTGCACTCGAAGGCTTCAGAATTTTGAGCTTTGGGGATGCTGATTTCTGAATTATGCAGGGGGCGTCAAGCGATCCGCAAGGACTTAGCTAAAGGTTTACGGGGGGCGGTAACCGTTTAGCTAAGCGTTTAGGCTAACCGTTTAGCGGTTGGCTAACCCCAAAGCTAACCGTTCAGGTAAGGCCTTACCAACTCATGGGCCTAACCACTTAGCAATGGGTTACCCAACCCATTGATAACTTGAAAGCAAGTCCTGTGCAAACTTTATTAAACCTCTACCGAGTTGCAAACCGTACTAAACCACCAACCCCTCCAAGTGGGGATCTCCGGGGACACCCGGGGACGCCCTCCCCATCTGCCCTTCCTTCCCGACGGCACCGAAGCACGAAGGCCGCAGCGAGGCACTGAAGGAAAGAGGGGAGGAGGAGGAGGAGGAGGAGGAGGAGCAGGAGGAGGAGGAGGAGCAGGAGGAGGAGGGGGAGGAGGAGGAGGAGGAGGAGGAGGAGGAGGAGGAGGAGGAGGAGGAAGGAACACATGGGTACTGCGTGAGTTGGTCAGGTGCCGCGACATCTGGGGACGCCCTCCCCTTCCCACCCTCCTCCTCCTCCTCCTCCATGCCTGCTGGTGCCCCACGGGGAGACTACCGCCGCGCGTGGCGGAGGTTCGGGCCGTCGGGCTGCTGCCCTGCAGAGGCCACCCTTCACCTCGGAGGAGCGGGAGGCGATGATACGATACGGTCCAGGATTTTCGGGATTTTTTCAGGATTTCCAGATGTTCCACACGGGCTGCAGAAGGAGGGCCGCTGGATACTCCTAGGAGGTCCTGGGACGTCTTCGAACCGGGTCGTTTTTCATGACATCCACCCCTCCTTTTGCCATCTGATCTGCTCCTGGCGAGCTCCTGCACCTCGCTCCTCGCGGCCCCCGAACGGACACATCGAGCCTCGGGCCCCAAGATGGCCCAAGAGCTTGAGCATGGGATCGACCACAGAATTGATGTACCCCAGAATTCATTTTCCCGCAGAGATCGACGACAAAAAACGTACAACGCCCCGTTGATCTACAGGCATTTTGCACATGTCCTTGCAGGTCCCATGGATCGGTGCAAATGGCTGCCTGGCCAGGACGGGGAGGGTGTCTGGGTCGGTGCGGGTGTCTTGTCGGTGTCCTCTTGCCGCTGCTGCCGCTACCGCCCGTGCCTGTCCTTGCCGTGACTGTCTCGCTGCCCGCGCGAGAGGAGTTGCGGTCTGGTCGAGGGCCCGGAGCTTCCCGCTACCACAGCAGCGCCGTTGCAAATGGGGCGCAAGCGACAGGCACCTCAAGATGCGCGTGCAGGCAGCTCGCATTAGAGTGAGATGGGCAGTGCTATGCAGGGGCGAGGAAGAAAAATATGGAATGCCGAGATAATCGGATGGCGCATGTATTAGACGTGTGTCTCGAAGTTGCCGCATTACTTCACATTGAGCTGCCTGAAACCAATGTTACAGCGCGTATGGCATTTCTAAGCTGCCAGGTCCCAGGGTATCGTACGCGGAGCTCAGGTCCATCGAAGCATGGTTATTGCACCGTTTCTGGGTTTCCAGGTCCCAAGGTTCGGAGTGGACCTTGGAGCGCAGCCCCCCGCAAACGCTGGTCGAACATGGGTGGCACTCTTCCTGGCCATCCCCACAGGGACGCGTGTCGATGCCCTTCGCCGCAGGACAGAAAAAAACGCATTTCATCGGAGGGTCGCCTACTTCCATTGGGGTCTTGTAAAATATGGTGGTGACGTGCTTAGTCAGTCCTGGTACAGGGGCCGATCTTGGGTGAGGAGTAGCCTTTTCACGCCCTCATGCGGTGTCGCACCGACTGGGTGATGTCAGTGAGGGGCATTTGGCCCACATGTGCTGTCTCCAGGGAGTCTGGTGCGAGTAAGAATGTGTCGCCTCACCGATTCCGTGACATTGTCATTGGGGTTTGTGCCCGTCCTCTAGCCCCGCATGCCAGTGCGTTGACCCCGCGGGCGTGGACAGCCAACATGCGATGTTTTGGTACCCCATGAGTCTCACATCATCCTGGGGAGCCGACCCAACAGGTTGAACCCCGCATGTCGGGGCTTGGCTTCCCGCTGCGTATGCCACACCGACGCTGGGGCTGTAGTTCCTTACGGCTTAGCCCGTGCTGCCAGTGTTGCCAGAGCCCCCGCAGTTTGTGCGCGAGAAAGAACCGCTCAACTCAGCGGCAGCGATGCGTGCGGACCTGTTTCCGGGATCCGCTTGCCTCCTTGAGAGGAGCCGCCGGGCAGTGCACGTCCAAAGGTTTGTGATTCATGTTGCGGGCCAATACCGAGGCAAGTTCGTTTCCCTGTTTCTTGGGTGCCACACCGTAGGCGCCTCGATTCGTCAGGATCATCAGCGGGCATGGGGTGAGGAGGGGGTGGCGGCCAGCGAATGCGATCGAGAGGTGGAGAATCGACGGGTGTTCCTCCCACAGCATCTCAGTATCACGGCTATCCGCCGCTCTGTTCTTCAGGCCGCGAGTTTGGACACCCGCATTGGCCATATCCCGCTCCACTGCGGGCAGGTGCGCGATTCGCCACCCCGTCCCAACCTACATCCGAGACTGTCCTCCACTCCCTCCCTCTCCTTCTCCTCCTCTCCGCCCTTCTCTCCATCTCCCTCCCTCCCCCTGCATCTCATTCTCCTACATCCTATAGTATCCTCCATTCCCTCCTTCTCCTTCGCCTCCTCTCCGCCCTCCTCTCCAACTCTCTCCCTCCCTCCCTCCCTGCATCTCATCCTCCTGCCTCCGAGACCTTCCTCCACTCCCTCCCACTCCTCCTCCTCCTCTCCGCCCTCCTCTCCATCTCCCTCCCCCCCCCCCCCCTGCATCTCATTCTCTCCCTCACTCTCTGGCTCTCTCCTCTCTCTCTCTCTCTCCTACTCCCTCGCTTCCCATCTCCCAAGAGCGGAGAGGGAGGCGGAGTCAGGGATGTGCCGGGCGGCCGGGCCGCCGCTGGAGACGGGCTCCCTCCCTCCATCTCTCTCCCTCTCGCTCTTCGGTGGCTCAAATAGGTGGGGTCCTGAGGGATTGGGCCCTCGGGACGAGGCGCCTCACGCCATGTGGATTCCCCCCTTGGCCCCCCTCCTATCCTCAGGGCCCCACCTCTCGGGACCCCATCTTTGAGGCACCGATCACTCTCCCTCTCTCTCTGCCGCCTCCCCTCCCCCCCCTCCGCCCGGCGCTCCGGGCGGGAGGGTCTTGTCGGGCAGGGCCTGTCACCCCTCGAAGAAGGAACAAACAACGACATAAGCACAGGTTTCTGGCGCTCCGCGCGGATTTCTCGGATCCGCGCCGGGCTCCCCCGCGGCGCCTCCGGCGCCGCACCTGGCGTGCGCAGATCCAAGGAATCCGCGCGGAGCGCCAACAGTTTATGTTTATGGCGTGTTTTCCTCTTCCATTCCCCTATCCCATTCCCTCCGCCCTCTCCCTGGTGGGGCTCCTTCCCCCTCTTCCTGTCACCGCCTCGTACTTGCGAGGCACGTCGACCAGGCAGTGCAGAGGGGATCGGACGAGCTGCCAGGCGCTCCCCGTCCAGCCCCCCCCCCTCCACCGCAGGGAGCCGCTGAGTTGCCTCTCCTGCTACTCTGCTGGCCGGGGCGTGGGGCGGAGGCGCCTGCCAAGGAGACGTCTTCTCATGCAAACCCTCCCCCCCGCCCCCCTGGGCCCCCTCCCGCGCTGGCGGCTTGTCTTCGGGAGCCGCCGCAGCAAGGCTGCTTCCGAACCCTTGCCGCGTCGTGGGCCCCCTAGAGAGAGGAAGCTGCGCCTGAGGCCTCCGCAGGCCGGCTCACCCGGAGCACGTTGGTGCCGTGATTTCACATGTGCCCTCTGCCCTCGCCGCCCCTTCCGCGAGCCGTCCCGTCTCTCTCTCGTGTGCTCTCTGCCCCTCCTCCGCCTCCTCCTCCTCCTCCTCCTCCTCCTCCTCCTCCTCATCATCATCATCCTCCTGCTTCTCCTCCACCCCATCGTCCCTTCGCTGCCTCCGTGCTCGCTGCCCCCCTCGTGGAGGCATCCAACGTGAACTTCGGGAAGCTGGCGCGGGGCTTGCTGCATCGGGCCTCCGAGGGCATGAGCACAGACGTCGATGCGTGCGGGGATGTGTCGGTGACCTGACCTCCGTTTACCTCGTCAGCTCAGCAGGTTGTATAGGATGGCGCTGGTCTGGGCTGGGCTGACTCAGGGAAGGGCCATTTGCGTAGCATTGGGTGTCCCGACCGTGCCAAACGCTTTTCGCACGGCTGTAGGGTGCTCAAGAGGAGGCCTCGTAGAGGTCTCCAGGGTCTCCTCCTGAGGGAAGCTTTCCAGAGGTTGCGTTTTCCACCTCCCAGAGGCCGTCCTCTGGTAGGAGGAGGAGGCGGCGGAGGAGGAGGAGGAGGAGGAGGAGGAAGAGGAAGACGAGGAGGAGGAGGAGGAGGAGGAGGAGGAGGAGGAGGAGGGAGAGAGTCCTCGGGTCCCTCCTTCGGCCTGGGTGCAGTGGGGGGGCCTGCTTGTGCCCGGGGCTCGCTATTGGCCAGCAAGGCCCTCCTGAAAGCTGCAGCAGGTTGACGGCAAAACATCTGTCCACACGATTTGTGAACCAACAGTTGTTAGAGAGATAGCGATAGTATGGGAAGACGCCCGTACATTACTGCGACATATGAAGGATCGTAGGGCTGAAGTCTCAAGAATGTTATTCTGGGGCGCTTCAGCATGGTCAGGACCCAGCGGTCATGTTGATTCGCGGTGTTGATCAATCCCAGGAGTGGTGTTCTGGCGTAGTTTTATGATTGTCAGGGCGCAACAGTTCGAGTAGGGAATCGACTGCATAATTGATTCTCCCCAGACCTGATTTTCCCGTCAAATCCACGAACAATGCGTAGCAAGCTCCGTAGTCCTACTGAGTAGTCTACGTACGTGTTGTAGATTCGACGGGAACATCAATTTTGGGGTACATCGATTCTGTAGTCGACCCCCTGACGCGAACAGTCACGGTGACTCGCGGCGTTGAAGTCACAGAAATTGGATTCTGGCACGGTTGAGGATTCGTCTTCGAATGGGGCCTGCCCCGCAATGAACAGAACTTCGTTCAGGGATTTGAAGGGGAACTTGGAGGGTTTATTGCAATACAGTCGGGGCGCTGATGAAGGATCCTTTTTCGTTGAGGAGGGGCTCCGTGTTCCTTGATTGTTTCACAGCTTGCCTTATGTCTTCTTTAGGTTTTCGCTGGGACATCGAAGTTTAACTGATGGGAAAAAGGGGCCTCGTTCCTTATTTAGGGTCCCTTAGGTCAGCGCCCCGACTGTATTGCAACATCGTTGATGCGCCTTGGGTTTACACTGGTCCTCCTCCTCCTCCTCCTCCCCCCCTCCCCTGCGGGTTAGGAGGCTCCCTGACTGCATTGTATAGCCTCCCCTGAGATCCACCGTTGCGAACCACACGGCGTCCTGAGCATCACGGCTGGAGCCCTGGACCCCACATCTTGTTGTGGCATTGTTCGAGCCGGGATCGATCTGCGAGGCCTTTGTCCCCGACAGCAGTTCAAACATGCCCAGGGCGCAGCTGATTGCCTCGCCCAGATCTCTGGGTCCCCCGCGCGCCCGTCATCCTCCCCCGGTCGGTGAGCAACGCGCTGAAGGCGGTGGGCTTGGCGAACGCCTTCGCGCGGCTGGACGACCCGCCCACCAGCGGGCTGGCGGTGGTGCCGGTGCCCTGGGCTCTTTCAGTCCTTCCGCCCACACGCACGAGCCAGGGGCAACGAGATGGGGGATGGGCTCAGTGGGGGATGCATCGGCCCCCAATCGTCCATTCATCGCCGATGGGGGCCCAAAAATGCCCACCCCGCCCAGGAACGTGCGCATTCGCTCTCGGGGGCCTGGCTTCGATCTATCGGCCATGTGCCGCCGATGCCAAGTCGACGCGTCCCTCCCTGAGCCGGTCTCCCATGACCGTGGCCCCTCAACGAAGCCGCACCTAGACGGCGCATTGGGGCGAGCATTTTGCAAACCCGCACATGCAGACACAACACATCATCGAACAAGATAGCGAGCACGCCGTGGGGGGGGGACAGCCCATCGAGCAGCCAACGGTTCCACAAGCGGGGGGGAGGGCAGGGCAGCCTCCTCGCCGCGAACAGGAGGTCAGGCTACATCCCTCACCTCCGCTCGTCGCCAGCGTCAGCACCTCGTCACGGGCGAGTCTTCGGCCCCTCGGGGGGGCCTCGCTGGGCCGCGGAGCCCTCGGGAGACGACTCGGGAGGAGGAGCCGGTCCCCGGGCAGGGGTGGTGGCCGCCGACGCGCCCCTCTCGCTCCCCATGGTCTCCACCCAGCCGATTTCTCGAGCTAGGCTCCCTCGTCATATTCCTCCTCCTCCTCCTCGTCATCCTCGTCCTCCTTTTGCGTCCTCATCCTCGTCAGCCTCCTCTTGGCCTCCTGCTTCCTCCTGGCCCCTGCCCCTGCACCTGCGCCATGTCCCTTCTCCCCTGAGAAGCTCCCCAGCCCCTCGTGATCTCCCCTCGGGTGGCGCATCCAAAGCCAGCGCGCGCAGTGGCGGGTGCTTGTCTGGCAGCTGCAGGACATGTGGCTCATCAGTGAGCTCTGTGTCGGCGGTCCGCACAAGTGGCGCGAGGGGGAGGCCTTCGAAAGAGAGTTGGGAGGCTTCTGAGGAGGCAGGGGCCTGCTCAGAAGCTTTCCAAGCTCCTAAGGGCCTTCCAAGAAGCCTCCAGACCTTTCTGAGGAGGCCCAGGCCCTACTGAGAAGCGGGCCGCCTCCTTAGAATGTCAGCCCCTTCGTGCCATCCCTTTGTTCGCGGCGCCAACTCTGCTCGGCGTCACCCCAGCATACAATACAGTGCCGTTTATAATACATGCTCCGCGTGCGGATCATGTATTAAGCATGCAGGGGTTTAGTATGAAAGCAACGATGAGTTCATGTATACATTCATTCATAAACTAACCATGTATGAAAAATCATATATGTTTGAAGCATCCTATGTATGAGAGACTGCCCTGTACTATACTGTGTGTGTGCGTGTGCGTCGGCCCTTCCACACTCCAGTGGCGGAACGCAGTACTAGTGCGTCCTAATGCGTCCCATCCGCGTTCGTCAGTGAGACTACGTGGGAGCTCGGTGCTGATATCTGCTGGCGCCCTCCCCCCGCCGGTGCTGATATCGGTGCTGATATCCGGGTGCTTCCAGCAAGCTCCACCACCGTTCCAGCGCGGCTCGCCGTGTGCTGATTCCCGGAGTGCCGTCCAGGTGGCCGCAACTTCCTGGTAGCTCTCGTCCGCAGGTTCCAGAGGGCAGAGGGCTAGAAGATGTGACAGTTCTCTTCCCCAACGTGTGACAGCTGTCTTCCTGAGGGGCCCTATGGCGATGATATGCAATATCTCTTTCTACAAAAGTTGCATGAGAATGCAGCAGGCGGAAGCCCGCATCCAACTTGGAAAAGCCCGTAATTTGTGACAGTGATCTTCCCCAAAGCCAGGCGGGCTGCATCATGATATGACAGCCCTCTTCGTCAGGCTCCAGAAGGGGCGTGCGATATCCGTTCTTCTCGGGGCCCGCATGGCCCCAGCGTGTGACGCCTCTGTTCCCCCTTCTTCGCAGCGCCCTAACGGAGAGCGCCGTTCACGTGATACGATACATCTCCGTTTTCTTCACCGCCCAGAGGTCTGCAACAGGTGACGCAGCTCTTTCCTAGAATGCTGAGGGCTGCAAGTGTCATGCGGCAGCCGACTTCCCCAGCCCAGAGAGGGTCTTGACAGGTGACGTCTGTCTTCGCCAGCGCCCGGGGGGCCTTGCCAGATGTGTCTTCCTCGGCCCTGGGCAGGGTTGTTTGGGGTTTCTCTTGGGGCCTTCTCCTTGGTCTTTCTCTTCTTGCCTTTGGGGAACATCCAGGAGGGGCGTTGCCAGTTCCGATTCGGCACCACGAACCCTACCCCAGGAGGAGGAGAGGAGGAGAAGGAAACGCATGAAACAAACTAGCCTGGGTTAAACGCTGCCCACCTTCTAATGGGCCGTGCCCAGGCCAGAAAGATCGACGCAGACCTTCCCCAGAACGGGGCGGAGAATCCCATCCCACCCACCAGTTCCCGCCCCACCCCAGACACGAACAATCCCTGAACGCCAACTTGCAGGTTCGGACTTTCGGGCATGGTGAGACCATGGCAAGACCCGCCAGGGAAGGCCACTTGCTTTCGCCTGCGACCTGGCTGCCAATTCCTTGAACTGTCTGGAGGGAGGAAGGAGGGAGGGGGGATGCATGAAGGAGCAAGGGAAGGGGAAGGAGATCAACTGCAATGCGCTGGGGTATCTTACTTCCCACATACTAATGGGCAGACCCCTAGCAACGCGAGACCTTACCATCCCCCATTAGGGAAGGAGAAAAGACAGACTAGGGGATTACTTCGCCAGACTTTCCTGGACCCCTGATACGAGTAAGCATAAACTGGGCTGACATGCAGCTGCCCTAACTAGCGCATGACAAGGAAACCTGACGCAAGTAAGCAACCTGCTTCAACAGTGCTGCCGATCTGGCCAAAAGGATACGAGACGTGTGAAGGTTAAAGAACGCTGGGTAGCTGACGAATGTCCTACCCAAACGCAGAGCTGACCAACACAAAGGATCCGACCAAACACCTGTAGCCATAGAACTCCGCTCATCTAAGCCAGAACTACAGTTGCCTATTTTGCCCATGATGCAATATAAATTCTGCCGCTGAACTGAAAGACATTGGGTACTACCAACGACATTGAGCTCCGTTTAATTTGAAGAAGAGGAGTCTGGGCTGGATCTGCTCCTCCGAGGAACAGGCGCATTGCCTGAAGCTGTGTTTTGATTCTTTACACGACTGAGCTCATCCTGGAGTGTCTCCAGCTGCTGCTGGAGGTGCTTGATTTTGATAGCCTGGAGACCACACTTGAGCTCCAGAAGTCTTGAATTGGACGGGGCTGATTCCATGGAAGGGGCTGCATCGCTGTGCACAACCTTTGCACGCTTACTAGCGTGCTCTGGAGAAGTCGAACGAGGACGGTCGACATGTTTTATACTGGCAGAAGGTGAATCGGAATCGCTACCACTGTCCAAAACATCTGGAATTTTGTCTTCCTTCTTAGAGATCTGAACCTTCACCTTAGGCTCGACGTTGAATTTCTCGCATACTGCCAAATACATATACTTTTCTTTCCCCCTGTACTTGTCCAAGAAACTGTCCAACTGATCCAGCATTTGAGGTTCGTACTGCTGGAAGATCCCCGATATCAGTAGCTTGAACTGATGCCTGACTTTGGAATCCTGGCCCTGCTCACTGTCGGATTCTACCTGGCCAGTGGCCTTGACTTTGGGATCATACTTCGCTGCCACAAGATGCGGCGGTGGTGAATGCGCCTTCTCATTGTCGGCTTCTACCTGAACAGTGGGCTTATATTTGGACTGAATCTTCTCACTGCCAGATGCTACCTCAGCAGTGGGCTTTTCTGTGCGCCCAGGCTTCGCTGCTACTGGTGGTGGCGGAGCTGGCGGGAGTGGCTGGGAACTCATCCCATGCCAGGGGAGACCGCACTTACATAACGGCTGAGAAGCAATTCTATTAGGCCAGATCAAACAGTCTGGTCTGCCACGCGGGCAAAGCAACTTAGCATGATAAACAATTGGGGATCCTACTCCTTCTTTGCGAACCCAGGGCGTCCTGGACGACATGGCGGCAACTGCGGCGTGTGGGTGTAGGCAAAAAAGGGGGCAGGCTGCTCCCGCCCAGCTGGCTTGAGCGGTGGCAACTTGAGCCAAAATGGCTTGAGCCAAAATGGCTACGGAGGAGGAGGAGGAGGAGACGGGGCGGCGATGCAGGCAGGTGTGTGCGGCCGGGAGGGTGGGCGGCCCTTCCAAGCTAACAGAAGCCCTACCAGACTCCACCTGGCATGCTGCCGCGCCTCAGCGTGGTGGCGGCAAGGGAGGTCGTCAAGCTGTCAGAGGGGTCTTCGGTCCATGAATGGAGCATGGCAGTCTTGAATATGTCTTGGTGTGGTTTCGATGCCGTCCTCGAGGGCTTGGTGGTTCCGAGCTGTCCTCTTGGCGCTTCTGGGGCCGCTTGAGGCGTCCGAGGGGCCGCCTGCGGAAAGCCTGGGGGATGTGCTTTGGGGCATCCTGCGGCACATCGGGGCGAAAATGGACGCCCAGGGTTTTGCAGTGTTTCTGTGTCCTCTCAGTACTTTGGAGCTTGGGGGCCTCTCGGGGCTTCTTCGGGCCCGCAGTGCCGGGAGGCCTCGCGGGACGTCCGGGGCGCTCCTCGGGCGCCTCTCTTCGGGCTCTCCCGGGTGCCATGTGGGCCCTCGTCGGGCAGCCATCGTGGCCTTTTCCTGCGGGCAGTGGCCCTCTTGGGCAGTCTCGGCAACCAGCCTGGCCACCTTGGAGGTGTTGGAGGCCGTCGGGGTGGCATCGGAAGCGTCCAGTGATTCTCGGAAGGGGATGGAGGATGCTCGCGCCAGGGCGATCGTGGGGGGGCGGGCCTCGGAAAGTTGCAGAAACCTGGCCTGGCACCGCAGGGCATGATTTCGAGGGAACGGCAACTCGGATTCAGGCGCGTGACGTGGACTTGCGGCGGGTCCCGTTTCCATTCGCAATCAGCGCGCGGTGTTGCCAAATGAGGCGGCACTGGCCTCATGCGTCAGGGGTACCTTCCCCGATCCATGGATTTGGCGCCCACGCACCAGATCCACAGATCACTACTAATCCTTTTTAGCCGATCATAGCGTTTTCGCTACATGCAATGGGGTCGCGGTGGTGGATGCGTCAGACGTGTTGTTCGTCGGACATGAATATCCCCTTGCGAGCATTCGGGCGAACACGTCACGCGTGGTGCCCTTCCAGGTTGCAGCGGGTTCGATCTATGTTCTGTTGGGGGGGCGCGCACGCTGGCAGACCAGCTGCAGTGAAGCCAGGCCTGACAGTGCTCGCGCTGTCATCATACAGTCGGGGCCCTGAAGAAGGAACCCTTTATGTTGGGGAGGGGCTCCGTGTTCCTTAGTTGCTTTACAGTGCTCCCTGGGTTTGCCTGAGGTTTTCCATGGAAAATCGGAGTTTAATGTATGGGAAAAAGGGGCCTCGCTCCTTATTTTTCGTTCCTTAGGTCAACGCCCCGACTGTACCACCATCGACAAGTCTAGACTGCAGTACCCACGGGGCGACGGGATGGAGCGGACCCGGAATCAAGGTAGCCACAAGCCAGAGCGCGACAGCACACAGCCAGAGCCGCGGAAGGAAGGATGACGAAGCGTGGGCTCGGGAGGGGCTCTGGTTTTCGGGCCGCTCCTCATAGCTGTTGCCAGTCTGAAGCTCCCTATCCCCGTGCTTGGCACCAGCTCACCTCGATGCCGATCGTAAGGATTCCCTCAGCTTCTGAGGGCACATCCCTAAGCCTGTCCTCGCTTTTTGCTGGCCCATCTCAGGGATAGGGATAGCCCCCTGCAGGGGGACTCGCCCGACGTAAGGCTAGGCGGAGTGGACGAGCGGCGAGCAGGCAGGGGTCGCCCATGGGAGGGGGTCCCGAGGCGGGGCTCTCCGCGGAGAGCCCGGCCCGGTCACCCTGCCCCGACCAGTCGGCGGCGACGATGGGTCCGTAGACGCGCTGACGGTGTGTTAGCGAAGGACGATGTAGGAGAACCAATTGTAGGAAGGCGTGGTTCGTGGCCAGACCACTCTCAGGAACGCGTGGCTCGTGTTTTCCTGCAACTCGCTGTGCCGTTTTCGTTCGATGCAGTCGCATATCTGAATTATAGGAAACGGTGTTTCGTGATTTCCTATATTTAGGTATGCGTGAGCTCGGTGTCACAAAAGCTATATTCCCAACCGCACCGGTAACCAAGCACACCGTCAGCGCGGCCTTGGTGGGTGTGGTTACGCGGGTGCGCTTGGTGGACAGCAGGTTGCGCCAGAGGCTTGACGAGGCCTCGTCGGGGTGCGGCGGAGACCTCGGTCGGGGTGCTCGCCCGCCCCCCCCCGAGGGCGCGGGGTGCAGACCGCACCTCGTGCTCGCCGCACCCTTCGGAGTCGCCAAACCTAGGCTGGTGGCTCCCACCCTCGAGTGCAGCCACGCGCCCGTCGCTCGGGGACCTGCAGGGCCTCTGCCAGAGCGAGGGTCCTCGTGAAGGCGTCACTGTGCACGGTCTCGGTGGGAGCTGCGATCGGGCCGCCCGGGGGTCGGGGCCGCCCCTGTCCCCTCGGTGCCGGGGTCGTTTTTTCATGATTCATGGGCACAGGCGTGTGCCACAGGCCTGGCGCCCGTTGCCATGTCTTGCGCTTCTTTTTGGTTTGTATTCCTCTCCAGCCTCCCTTTCCATATTCAGTGTCCTTGGCGAAGACATCGGAATCTGCGACCACTGACGAAACCTACCCCTGCGGGTCCAGTCGACGCAGGGGTATCGGACACCCCCGCCAGGGCTTGCTTGGTTGCAGACATCATTCTGACTCTGAGGCCCCCAGCTGTTTTTCAGGAGTCTGGCCTGCAGGGATAGGGTTCACACGTGTCCGCCTGTGGTAGCAATTCCGAGGCGGTGTTCGCGTCACTGGCTCCCATCCTCTGGCGTGAACGCTTTCCCAGGGGAGAGTGATCAGTCACAGGCTCCAGATCCCTTGTCATATTTTTGTTCATGTTGGGCCACTTCACATATTGATCAGTTTCTCCGCTGCCCGCTGTCAAGCCCAGGCGCTCGTCGATGCTTCAGACCCCGACGTTGAGGCCGCTTGCTCCGGCTTTCTCTCTCAATCAGAGGTGCTTGAACAAGGAGGAGGGTGACGAGGGCGATGATGAGGAAACCACACCGACCATATTTCTCTAGGGGGGGTAATCTCGCCCTCGCCTGAGTCAGTCACGAGCCGATCGCCTTACACGAATGCAAGGAGCAAGAGGTCGGAACGGCCCGGCCTGCGAGGGAGACACGTGCTGTTCTGCCTTGCACAAGCGAGCACGATGGTAGCACATGCGACGCAAGCGCAAGGGCTCCCACGAGGGCGCGAAGTTATTCGCGCTTCGCGCTTCGCGGTCCTCGTTTCTCCTCCCCCTCCTCCTCGTCCTCCTTTTCTCCCTTTGGGGGGGCGGCGCGAGAGCGCGAAGTTATTCGCACTTCGCGCTTCGCGCAGCGCGAAGCGCGAAGTTGGGAGCCCTTGCAAGCGACTCTGGTGGATGGGGATGCCAGCCGGAGCAGGACTGGGGTCAGGTCGACGAGGTGGGCCCGGGGGCGGAGGATCTGCAAGGGCTCCCACGAGGGCGCGAAGTTATTCGCGCTTCGCGCTTCGCGGTCCTCGTTTCTCCTCCCCCTCCTCCTCGTCCTCCTATTCTCCCTTTGGGAGGGCGGCGCGAGAGCGCGAAGTTATTCGCGCTTCGCGCTTCGCGCAGCGCGAAGCGCGAAGTTGGGAGCCCTAGAGGAGGACCAGGTCAGAGCCACCACGTAACCGTCGGTTGGTGCAAGTCTGCTACTTTTAGGCGCCTTCCTGTATCGAGTGCCAGATTCTTTTCGCTCTTCCCTCCTCTTCGGGGGGCGGTCGGGAATCCAGCCTGCTTCAAACGCTTTCCTGCTTTGTGTGCCTACCCAACGCCCTTCCGACCGATGGGTGCAGCAGATTCGCACCCCTCTCGACGCGGCGGCGATCCCAGCGCGGGCGTTCAAGGGCGAACGCCGCCAGTGGCCCAGAATCTGGCCACGCGGAACGATCAGGCGATCGAAAGTCCGCCGTGAGGTCAATGACAAGCGATGCGTGCGGTGTCAGACACCGACGCCAAGGTCGAACCTGCCGCCTGAACGACGCTGTACTGCGCCCTTCCGCTTTAAGGCCCCCCCTCTCGGCATTCTCTCACTCCACTCACAAGCCACACGCCGTCCAGCGCGGAGAAAAAGCTGAAGTGACCCCAAGCAGAAGTGGTTGAATCTCTGCGCCGGCTGATCCGGGCAGCGGGAGCGTACGAGGGAGGGCAGGAGGGGGATCGAGGACGCGCCACACTTGGATTAAGGCGCAGGTGTCAGCGAAGAGTCCTGTTTTCTTGCCAAATTGGCGCCGCTCCGTCGCCAAATCAGGCGGCACTGCCGCCATGCTCCAGGGGTGACGCTCCCCAATCCGCGGCTCTGGCGCCCATGCGGCAGATTCGCGGCGGGTGCCGGAGAGTAATAAGAGTATTAACAGTAACAGCAGCGGTAAACCGATGCAGTTCTACAGTTGCACGGACACGAAAATAAGACTGGGAATTCACACATGATTGTGACGAATGGTAAAACTGCTAAGAGAAGAAACATCGCTGTTTTGATGCGAAGGAAGAGGAGCAGAAGAGGAGCACGCGCAACACGTGAAAGCACTGATAGGCAGCAGCTCGTCAGAGGTCTTGCGGGTGCAAGCACGAGGCCTTGCCTCTCGCGCCACGGCGAGTTCCCCGCCAGAGCCGGGGGTGAAGGCGCCCCCACGTGCCCCCCCGAGGGCTCGGGGCCTTTTGTCGGGGTGGTCCCCATAGGCTCGCACCCAAAGGAGCCCCAGGAGGCCAAACGGGGCCCGTTCCCTTTGTGAAACGCATACTTTTAGAACGCCCCCTCCCTTCAAGAACAAAGCGCCCCAAATGGTCCAAGAGGCGCCCTACGAGGCTCCGAGACGGCCTCAGTGAGCCCCAAGAGGGCCCCAAGCGAGACCCCAAGAGGCCCAAGAGCGCCCCAAGAGGCCCCAAGACTGGCCCAGAGGGGCCCAAGAGGGCTCCAGGAGGGCCCCAGCAATTAGGTACCAACGGAACCTTGGTAGGTACCTGATTCCCGGGGCCGTCTTGGGGCCCTCTTGGGGTTCTCCTGGCACACTCTTGGGGCCCTCCTGGGGCCCTCCTGGGGCCCTCCTGGGGCCCTCTTGAGGCTCTTGGGGCCCTCTTGGGTACACTTGGGGCCCTCTTGGGGCCCACCGGGAACCCTCCAGGAGCCCAAGAGGACCCTCTTGGGCCCCAAGAGGGTTCAAAACAGGGTCTCTTCCGCCTCCTCTTTCTCCTCCCCCTCCTCCACTCCTCGTCCGCATCCTCATCCACATCCTCTTCCTCCTCCACCTCCTCGACCTCCCGATTGAGGAGATGAGGAAGGAGTAGGAGGAGGGGGGATGATGAGGAAGAGGAGGATGATGATGAGGAGGAGGAGGAGGAGGACGGAGGAGGAGGAGGAGGAGGAGGAGGAGGAGGAGGAGGAATAGGAGGAGGAATAGGAGGAGGAGGAGGAGGAGGAGGAGGAGGAGGAGGAGGAGAGGAGGAGGAGGAGGAGGAGGAGGAGAGGAGGGGGAGGGAGGAAGAGGAGGGAGGAGGAGCAGAGATGAGAGGAGGAGGAGGAGGAGGAGAAGGAGGAGAAGGAGGGGAGGAGGAGGAGGGGAGAGGAGGAGGAGGAGGAGGAGGAGGAGGAGAAGGAGGAGGAGGAGGAGGAGGAGGAGGGGGAGGAGGAATACCGCCGCCATCGCTGTTCCACCCCGTGCCTCCCGCGGTTCCTTGTGCCCCGCGGTGCGCTGGGCTTGTCCGCCCCGCAGCCTGCGCCAGCCAGCGACAAGAGGCCTCGCCCCCTGAAATGATGGGCGCTCCCCAGCAGCCTCCAGGAGGAAGGATGAGGGAGGAGGAGGAGGAGGAAAAGGGGGGAAGGGAAGGGAGAGGAGGGAGGATGAGGAGGATGAAGAGGAGGAGGTGGGAGGAAGATGAGGAAGAGAGGATTGTGACGAGTAGGGAGGAGGAGGAGCAGAGGAAAGAGAGCAGCGGGTTTGGCCCAATACATTATACAGATATTCACATGCGTACACACATGCATACATGTATACGTTCTGGCACTGGCGTGAAGGATTGTAGGTATGGACTGGGCATCACGCAATAACATGTGACACATGTGACAGTAATGGCCCTTGCATCCCTCACTGGGACATTCGCAACCTCTGATGCGAGTTCCATGGGCGCGGCTAGGGCCTAAGCACGCGAAGCGCGCGTGGTTCTAGTACATATACGTACATATGTACATATATAGGTGTATATATACACACGAATGTACGTTGCGCATTATATGATTGATGACCCTACGTGGTGCAATATATGCTGTGAGCTATGTACTTAGAGGTGTATACATATGTACATAGGCTTCAGTCACTGCTGTGCAATCCATGTTCAGTGATCAATGTCTTGTGCAACATGCGATGCAGCCGATGTGGCGCAGTATATGTTTTGCTAAGCAGGCTGTGCAACCTATGTGATGTAGTTACTATCTTACAATATATATATATATATAGATGGTACCATCTATGTGGTATACTCGCTGTGGTGCGGCCTGTTTGTCGCAATCAGTGTTGTGCAATCCATGTGGTGTGCACTTAGGTGGTGCAATTTATTCTGTGCAGTGCACCCGGTGCAGCCCATGTGCTACAATCTATCCCGTGCAATCTACGTGATGCATGCAATGTTGCGACGAGGCGGCGACGAGGCGGCGACGGCGGCAACCTGGCCGCCAGACCGACAGAGAGGCCACGACGACGGGCGGCGACGAGGCGCCAACGGGGCGGCGACGGCGAGCACGGAGCCGCCAGACCGACAGACATGCCCACTTACAGGCGGCGACGAGGCGGCGATTCGACGGCGACGGCGGCAACATAGCCGCCAGACCAACAGACAGGCCCTATTATAGAGTGGAACTAATTCGCTCTCAGTGCAAGCGCAGCTTGGGGAACACATGCATGGAACTGTATGGGTGCCGGCCCTCCAGGATTGGAGGAACAGTTCTGGGGAAGATTGTTGCGCAGCGCCCTGTCCGCTTGACCGACACGTCTAGATCTGCGGCGAGCTGTTGATACTTCCCTTCAGTCAGAAAGGAGCGGACAAGTAGCTGGAGGAAGAGGAGGAGGAGGAGGAGGAGGAGGAGGAGGATGGAATGCAGGAAGAGGAGGAGGAGGAGAAGGAGGAGGGGGAGGAGGAGGAGGAGGAGGAGGGGGCAGGGAGGAGGGGCGTAGGGAGGAGGACATTAGGGAGGAGGAGCAGGCAGATGAGGCGGAGGAGTCGGGGAGGATCGGGAAGAGCACGCAAGGGATAGAGCAAGGAGGATACGCATGAGGTGCATGATAATGTTGATGATGATGCTGCTTCTTATGATTATGAACATGATGATGACGATGATGGCGATGGTGGTGATGATGATACTGATGATGCTGATGATGAAGATGCTTCTAACGATGGTGGTGATGCTGCTGGTGATGATGCTGATGCTCATGACGATGCTGATACTGACGATGATGCTGGTGATGCGGATGCTGATGATGGTGATGCCGGTGGTGATGATGCGGATGATTATGATAATGATGCTGATGATGATGATGATGATGATGATGATGATGCTGATGGCGATGATGATGATGCTGATGCTGATTATGCTGATGTTGATGCTGATGCCGATGCTGCTCGCGATGAGGATGCTGATGCTGATGGTGATGCTGAAAGTGATGATGATGATGATGATGATGATACTGATGCTGATACGGATGCTGATGCTGGGGCTGATGATGATGATGCTGCTGCTGATGATGATGATGATGGTGCTGATGATGATGATGATGACGAGGATGCTGATGCTGACGCTGATGATGCTGATGGTGATGGTGAAGAGGATAATGACGATGCTGATGATTTTGATGATGATGATGAAGATGATGATGATGATGATGATGATGATGATGATGATGATGAGGAGGGGTATGATTCCGCTGATGGTGATGAGGATGTTGATGTGGATGATGAGGATGATGCTGATGATGATGATGATGATGATGATGATGATGATGATGATGATGATGATGATGATTTTGATGATGATGATGATGATGATGATGATGATGATGGTGGTGCTGACGATGATGATGATGATGATGATGATGATGATGATGATGATGATGATGATGATGATGATGATGATGATGATCATGCTTGTGATGCTGCTGATTATGCTGCTGATGCTGATTGTGATGATGTGATGCTGTTGATGATGATGGTGCTGATGATGAGGAACTTGGCTGCTGTGGAGGCCGCTGCTCGGCGGCTGGGGCGACTGGGCCCGGCGCGTCGCGGCGCCGCCGACGGAGTACGGCGGGCTGGGAACCGTTGCGGACCGCGGCGCAAGGCGGGCCGCGGCGGCGACGTGGGCCCGGCGGTGCAGCGTTCGGAGGCGCCTGCTCTCGAGTTTTGGGTAGCAAGCCTGACGCCAAGCATCACAGCAGCGTGCCGGCAAAGAATCCGAGAGCTCAAGCACCGCCCTCGAGGCAACACGTTTTTTCTAATCAAACGTGCGTTTGAGTGGCTGTCAAAGGCACCGTAGACCCCGATGAAGAATGACAAGGACATGGGTAACACCCTTGTCCCCGTCGACGCCATTAGGATGACCGATGAGCGAATTCTTAGCGCCGGCGCTCTCGGAGAAGCTCGGCGTCGCCGTGCGGGTCGACGAGTGACGCGAGCGTTCCCAGCATGCGAAGCAGTGCCTGCAGCAGCGCGGGCTGGTCGAGGAGCACGGCATCTTCCGCTCCGGCGCGGCGCGGCACGCAGAGTACACCGCTGGGCCGTGGGTGGCGGACGCGAGCACAGAGCAGCTCGCGCGGGCGCCGGTTCGCCCGGTGCACCCGGCGCCGGACGAGTTGGATGTGCGTGGGCAGAGGGTGCTCAGCCAGGTCCAGAGACATTGGCATGCACTCCAGGCGACGCGCCTCTGGCACGAGGCGGACGCGCACCGTAAGCTGGTCACGCTCAGCGCGGGGGGCCCTGGCAAGGGGTGCGTCTGACGCGACATCCTGAGTGAGAGAGGGCCGATCTGTTCCCCGTGGTCACCACCCGTGGGCACCTGGGCCTCTTGGAAGGCGGCAGCGCTATGTTGTTCTGCCGCTGCGATGGCACGACCGAGGAGTCGTGCGGGAAAAACCTGGGTGCGAGGCTGCAGCACGCCTGGCACTGCGCCAAGCAGGGTGGCCGCCAACGCCCACACCGGAGCGTCATCAAAACGTTGAAGAAGGCGGATGGTCCAGGCAAGCTACGCCGTGGACGAAGAGCGCCACGTCCCGGAGGTGTACCGGTGGCAGCTGCCAGATCGTGCTGCGGGCGGGGGGCGGCCGCAGACACCGACGTGCAAGGAGGCGGTCTTGGATCTCGTCGCCAGCGACCCGGGCGAACCGTACCACTGGCGGCTGCACGTCACAATCCGCTCGCCGCTCGCACTGCGCCCGGCGCCAGCGGGCAGGCAGGCGGCGGACCGCGCTGGCGCCGCAGCGCATGCCGGTGTAGAGGACGAGGCACGGCGTTGCGGCCCATGGGTGCTTGCCCTGTCCTGGGAGGCGTTCGGCCGGCTGCACGCGGCGAGCGCGGAGGCCCTGGAGGAGCTGGCGCGGCGTGCGGCCTCCCGCGGCGGCAGGGAGCCCGTACGCGTGGCGCGGGCGCGGCGGGCGGCGGCGGGCAGGGCGCTGCTGCACGCGGAGGCGGACGGCGTGCTGCTGTCGCTTGGTTCGGAGGCTGGGCCGCACGGCTGCGATTCAGGCTCCCTGGCTGGCAGCCGGCGCGCGGCGGCGCCGAGGAGGTGGAGGCGGGCGGCGCAGCCGCGGACCGTCATTTGGGCGAGCTCGTTTATGTCGCGGCGGCCGCCTGATTTGATGTCGCTTGGATGTCGTTGCAGGGTGTTTCATATGATGATGCTGATGCTGATGATGATGCTGCTGATGATGATGGTTGTGATGGTGATGGTGGTGGTGATGATGGTGCCCTTGTTGATGTTGGTGATGCTGTGGATGCTGATGCCGGTGATGGTGCTGATGAGGATGCTGATGATTATGATGATGATGATGATGACGGTGATGCTGATGATTACGATTATGTTGATGATGATAACGATGACGTTGATGATGATGAGGAGGCGGATGCTGATGCTGGTGTTGATACCGATGATGATGAGGAGGAGGACCAGGAGGAAACAAGACCGCAAGGAACAGGACCAGGAGGAGGAATATGACAACCAGCGGGAGGAAGATAACCAGGAGGAAGAGGAGGAGGACGAGGAGGAGGGGGGGAGGAGGGAAAGGATGTAGAAATGGGGAGGACGGAGTAGGAAGGAGGAGGACGAGGATAAGAACTGAAAGAACAGGCCACCCAAGATTGGGAGAACAGTTGTGGGGAACATTGTTGCGAAGCGCCCTGTCCGCTGGACCGACACGTTTGGATCTGCGGCGAACTGTTCCTACCTCCCCTCAATAAGGACGTATCGGACAAGTGTTAGGAGGAGAAGCAGGAGGAGGAGGAGGAGGAAGAGGAGGAGGAAGAGGAGGAGGAGACGGAGGAGGAGGAGGAGTCCTGAGGAGGAGGAGGAGGAGGAGGAGGAGTCCTGAGGAGGAGGAGGAGGTGGATGTGGAGGAGGAGGAGGAGGAGGAGGTAGAAGAGGAGGAGGAAGATGAGGAGGAACTGGGAGGAGGCAGGGGAGGCCGAGAAGCAGCCCGCCGGCCGCAGGCCCCCGACGGGGACTTCCTGAGGCTGGTCCGCCTGTCCGTGCTGCCCCTCCCCGCGCCGCTCTCCGCGTCCTCCTCGGCGGGCTGCCCGGAGCAGGCGCCCCGCCGGCGGGGGGCGTCTTCCGGATTGTCAAGCAGTGGCGAAGCATCCTTGCGTGCCTATAGGCCCACCAGAGAATGTTCTAACAACTTCTGTGGTCTGCGCGAAATGCTCTTAGAACGTTTCTGGCTGGGGCCGTCTTGTTTTAACATTTCGGGATTACGCTCTAAGAACATTGCTGTTTGATCTTCGAACATTTCCGGGTTCTAAGAACGTTTCGTGGTAGGCCTATAGAAATGCTGGGACGGTCAGTCCCTGCTCAACAGACTGTTACATCTTGACAATCCTGAATCGCGCCACAGCGCAACCTGACAAATCTGACAATCTTGGAATTTCAACGCGGCAGTCCTGACATTGTTGGAGTTTCAATTCCGGGAATCTACCTAATTGCCGCGTCCTGTCAATCCCAAATATTGCCGGATCACTCCTGAGACGTCAACACCGCGAACCGCTGTGATTGGTGGTCCTGACGATAGTTAACTGCGCCAGAACATCCCCCCCAAACATACGAACATTTTAGCCTCCTGCTGTAGACAAGCACGAAAGGGCGCCGAGCGTGCCCGGCGCTAAGGCTACAGCCACGTTTTGCAAATGGACCGCCCTTTCTGACTGCTGCGAACATCGAAGTTCAGGACTTCAAGTGGTGCGGAATTGTCAAGCGAAATGCCATGCCTGCCCTGCCGACACATACGGGGCTGCAGCAGGGAGGAGTTGCTCATATCGAAGAGAGGTGCTGGAGGAGGAATCGGAGGAGGAGGAGGAGGAGGAGGAGGAGGAGAAGGAGGACATCGAGGATATCGAGGATGAGGAGGAGGAGAGGAGGAGGAGGAGGAAGAGGAGGAGGAGGAGGAGGAGGAGGAGGAGGAGGAGGGGAAAGAGGAGGTGGAGGTGGAGGCGGAGGAAAGGAAGGAGGAGGAGGAGGAGGAGGAGGAGGAGGATGTGGGGCAGGAACAGGAGCAGGAGGAGTAGGAGTAGGAGTAGGAGTAGGAGGAGGAGTAGGAGTAGGAGTAGGAGTAGGAGTAGGAGTAGGAGGAGGAGGAGGAAGGAGGAGGAGGAGGAGGAGGAGCGGGAATGAGCAGCAGGAGGATGAGGAGGAGGAGCAGGAGGATGAGGAGGAGGAGCAGGAGGAGGAGGAGGGTTAGCATGACGAGGATGAGGTGGTAGGACGAGCAGGATGGTCAGGATGACGGTGATGCTGATGAGGAGGAGGAGCTTGATGAGGAGGATGAATTGGAGGAGGAGGAGGAGGGTGGGGATGCGGATGTGGATGTGGATGATCCGAGTCAGGGGGCTGAACCGAAGGGTCATTCACTGTCCCTGGGTGCGTGGTTGAAGTGGCATTCCGCGATGCGGATTCTCCTTGTTGTTGTCGTCGTTGTTGTTGTTGTTGTTGTTGGTGTTGTTGGTGGTGTTGTTGTTGTTGTTGTTGTTGTTGTTGTTCTTGTTGTTGTTGTTGTTGCTGCTGTTGTTGTTGTTGTTGTTGTTGGTGTTGTTGTTGTTGTTGTTGGTGTTGGTGTTGTTGTTGTTGTTGTTGTTGTTGTTGTTGAACATTATTTCTTCTTAAGAATAATTATTGTTGGGACCCCTGGTGCGCGACCCCCCCGCCGCGCCTAGGCCGCAGCCTCATTTTCATCATTTTCGTGAGGAAGTCTCAGGTAAAACGATGTGTCCAGATCCGGTTGTTTTGTTGATCCGCTTTCCCTTGCAAAAAACACTATAAAATGACATTTCTTGTTCTAACATAATCAAACTTCAAGAATCCCTTGCAAAAAATAAGGTAAAGTGGACATTCGCGCGCGCAAGACGAAATCCTTCCAAAACCTTAGTGTTCGTAGCGATTTTAACATAAAAACATCAAAAAACCAATGGTTTTTCAACAAAAAAATGTCAAAATCTCATCCCGCGCGCTCTTGCGGATTCGTAGGAAACCCAACACTTTTTAAACATTTCTGTCAAACGGGCTTTTGCGAGCAACTTTTTCGAACTTCTGCAACAACGGTTGCGCACCTGCCAGGGCCATCATCCCTGTCAAATAATACCATGCGGGACACATTCGTTTTTTCTTCGCGCGCGCACGCCGTCGTCGTCGGCCGCGGGGCCCTGAATAGTAGCCACGGTCGTCCGCATGCCACGAAGTGAAGTGTCCGAACGTCATAGGGCGGGAAGCTGGGTGTGGGTGGTGGCGAAGAGTCGTATGGAAATTTGGTAGAGCTTGAACCGGCCCCCCCACAAAGTGGGGGTATTGCCCGCCTCCTATGAAAACCCTGGCACTGGTGAGAACGGAGTGTCCCCAGTCTTAAATGATTGTTGTTGTTGTTGTTGTTGTTGTTGTTGTTGTGTTTGTTGTTTGTTGGTTGTTGGTTGTTGGTTGGTGTTTGTTGTCGTCGTCCTGCCCGCGACCCGCCCCGCGACCCACCCGCGACCCACCCCGCGACCCACCCGCGACCCACCCGCGACCCACCCCGCGACCCACCCGCGACCCACCCCGCGACCCACCCGTGACCTACCCGCGACCCACCCGCGACCCACCCCGCGACCCGCCCGCGACCCACCCCGAGACCCCCCCGGCGACCCACCCGCGACCCACCCGCGACCCACCCGCGACCCCTTCCCGCGACCCACTTCGCGATCCACCCGCGACCCACCGCTACCCACCCGCGACCCACTCCGCGACCCACCCAAAATTTTCGGCGCCTGCGGCGGGTTTCTTTTGCATTCGTTCAAGGTGGAGAACCTGCGACCCACCCGCGACCCAAACCGCGCTCGCGATCCACCCGCGACTTACCGCGACCCACCCGCGACCCACCCCGCGACCCACCCAACATTTTCGGCGCCTGCGGCGGGCTTCTGTTGCATTTGTTCGAGGTGGAGAACCTGCGACCCACCCGCGACCCAAACAACGCTCAGTGTCTAATCAAAATTTTCGGCGCCTGGGCGGGCTGTTTTTGAAATCCTTCCAGGTGGAGGTGGAGAGCCCGCGACCCACCCGCGACTCAAACTACGTTCACTGAACAAGCCAAAACTTCGGCGCCTGCGGCGGGTTTCTTTTGCATTCGTTCCAGTTGGAGAACATGCGACCCAAGCCGCGTTCAGTGTGCAAATCAAAATTTTCGGCGCCTGCGGCGGGCTGTTTCGAATTCCTTCCAAGTAGAGGTGGAGAGCCCGCGACACACCCGCGACCCAAACTACGTTCACTGAACCACCCAAAAATTCGGTGCCTGCGGCGGGCTGTTTTTGCATTTATTGCGGGTGGCCCACCCGTGTAAGGGTTCATGCCCGCATAAGGAATTGCCCCGTGGTGGGACAATTGTAAACATTCCTGAAGCGTTCCAAAGCACGATTCTCACGACTTCAGCGCCACGAGTTAGCCTGACTGATACGTTCTGGCGACCCAGAATCATGCCAGAGCACCATTCCTGGGACGTCAACACTGCGAGTAAGCGTAACTGCTGCGCCCTGACACTGTTGAATCGTTGCAACACACCGTTTCTGGTACGTTAGCTATGAGAATCAATGGAAATCTTGCGACATTTTAATCGGATGTGCGCGGTTCTAAAACGAGAGCCACATTTTGAAGACGACCCGCCCTCAATCCGTAGACTTTTCGCGGCGCGACGGCGAGAGCCACATTCTGAAGACCACCCGCCCTCAATCCGTGAACTTCTTGAAGATTTTGAGAGCGAATGTGCGCGGCGCGAAAGCGAGAGCCACATGTTGAAAACGACCCGCCATCAGTACGGGAAGCTCTTTGCACATGTTTAGAACGAATGTGCGCGGGGCTAAGGCGAGAGCCACGTGTGGAAAACGACCCGCCCTCAATCCGTGAAGCTCTAGCAATTTACAAAAGAACGCATGTGCGCGGCGCTTTGGCGATAGCGTCATTTTGTCAACGACCCGCCCTCCATTTGTGAGCTTTCGTGCCATCTTAAGCTTCAGGGTCATAAGTGGTGAGGACGTCTCCGGCGAAACGCCCGGTCCGCCGTTTCGACCGGTCTCGGGGTGCGACCAGAGGGAGTTATCTATGAGGAAAAAGGAGCGGATGAAGAGGAAGAGGAGGAGGCGAATTTGCAGAAGGAGCAGGAGCAGGAGCAGGAGGAGGATGCTGACGCTGACGTTGACGAGACGAGGCATGTCTGTGCCCCCTGCCACGCCCCCAAAGGGCCGCGAGCGAGAACCGGGGAGCCCGAAGGCCCGAGGAGCAGAGCCGCGCTGTCGCGGGGCCCCCGAGGGGGCCCCGACAGCGCGGCGGCGGCTGGCAGGACCCACCCCCTGGACTTTCGGATGTCCCAGTCCAGCCCCTCGCCGAACGAGCCGCACTCCACCCGAGGGATGTTCTGCAGCTAGCCACCTTCGAGGATGGCCCTGGCCATCTCGATGAAGACCTTGCTCTCCGCGTCCCCGTCATGGAGACTCTGCGCGCCGTGCTCGATGACCTGGAGAAAGCGCTCCTTGCGCTATCTCTCGGTGCTGTCCTTCACCGTACTGTATGCCTGCATGTCTTTGTCCCCCCAGCTTGCTGAGAGAAGTGCAGACCATCCTTACCAAAATCAGCCCCTTCACGTCGGTGCCCTTTTTGGTCCTGCATGTCCTCGTCCTCCAGCTCGCCGAAGGAGTTGCTGACCTTCACTGCGTACTCACACGAGGCGTGCTCCCCGAAGAGTTCCTCCGACTCGACGGCCAGGCCGTCGAGGCTGGTGTTGCACTCCGTGTCGGCCGCCAGCACCTCGCTGGTGCCTCCCTTGGGGAGTGGGGAGAAGAGCGTCTTCAGGTCCTCGTGCTTACTCTCCTCATCCCCGTCGTTGCGCTTGAAGGCCTCCCCGTGCCCGTCGTCATCCTCGCCGACGTTGCTTGGGACCTTCACCGCGTACTCGAACTTCGCACTCTCGTCGAAGTTGACCTCTTTTGGGCACTCGAGCGGCACCCCGTTGAAGTCAAGGATGCGTTTCATAACCGAACGGTCTCCGATGTGAACCGCCTCCCCAATAAAGTAGAACGGCTGAGGATCTGCATCAACGCCGCCTTCACCAGCACGAGCGTTCCAGTCATGAAGCGGGTCCTCGGACGTATCCACTGAGTCCTCTTCGCCGTCACAATTGGGTATGTGCAGAGCCGCCTCCAACCTCGGTCCACCAGGGCGAGACTGCGACTCCTCCTCGTGTCCCTTCTGCTCTTGTCCTTCTCGCCCTTCTTTTCCTTCTTTGAGACAGCACTGCGCGGGCCCTTGTCCTTCTGGTCCTTGTGTTGCTTCTTGGTTTTCTCTGCCTTCTTGATGGCGTCCAGAAGCCTGCTCGGCTGCGCGACCTCGAGTGAAGCCTCGCCCAGGGTCGAGGGGACGACGACCTTCCGCCACTTAAGCGAGCACGGCTGCGCGCCCTCGACGTTAGCGAGCAAATCGAGTGCCACACGCCTGGGGGCGACGAAGGCGGCGCGCTCTTGATGCCGAGGCTGAGCGTCACCTGGTTCTCGATGGCCAGCTGCTGCGGAGCCTGCGACGGCCTTAGCCTCAGCGTGGGCCGCGCCTTGTGGGGCACCACGGCCGCCAGGGCCGCTGTCACTGCTGCACTAACCGCGGCCTCCACCACCTGGGCGTGCACCACCGACGCGGCCATGGCTCTGCCTGCCGCCGCCGCTGCGACAACTCGAGCCGACCCCGCCCATGCCATGCGCTGGCTCGACACTACTGCGCCCCTTCGAATCGGCGAGTGGGCTTGAGCCAGTATGGCTACGGAGGAGGAAGAGGAGGAGGAGGAGGAGGAGGAGCAGAAGGAGGAGGAGGTGGAGCAGGATAGGGTCGGGGATGCAGCTACGGTAAGGAGAAAGAAGGGAGGAGGAGGAGGAGGAGGAGGAGGAGGAGGAGGAGGAGGAGGAGGAGGAGGAGGAGGAGTAACAGGAGAAGGAGGAGGAGGAGGAGGAGGACGAGGAGTAGGAGGAGGAGGAGCAGGATCAGGCAGAGGGTGCAGCAGGAGGCACGGGGAGGAGGGGCCCCCCGCCGGGCCCCGCGCCGCCCTGCGCCGCCCTCTCGGAGGACTACGCCCGCGGCGGCCTCTACGTGCCCGCGGCGCGCGCCGGCGCCTTCCGCGCCGCCGACAGGCGGCGCGGCGCGGCCGCTCCCTGCCCCCTGTGTCGGGCGTGTCCCCCTAACAGGGGGGTTTTCGAGGAAAAATAAAGAATACCCCAAACATGCACCAGAAAGGTTCAACAAAAACAAAAAAAAATGTTCTTGGAATATGTTTGGGGTACTCTTTTTTATTTTTCGTCGAGAGTTCCCCTGTTGGGGGACACGCCCGACTTAGCCCTGCTGTGGGCGGCTCTCCCCAGATCGGGGCTCGAGTGTCAGGCGCTCGCAAGCATTCAGGAGGGGAAAAAACACAGACAGACACAATTGATCGTCGCCTCCCCAGAAAAAATGTGGGAAGATGTGGGAAACATAGGGGGGGAGAGGCAGGAGCCCAGAATGTATTGGGAAATATGGGGCATCTGCTTACTTGTGTCTATTTATGTGTGTGTGTGTGTGTCCCAGTTCCCGTTCAAACATGGATCACGGGGGCGTGGATTAGCGACGGGTCCCGCTTCCATGGGGAACCGCGGATTTCTGCCGCCGAACGAGGCGGCACCGGCCGCATTTGGGGGAGGGTCGCCAAGTCCATGGATCGATGCTCATGAGACGGGGGTCAATCGAAGGAGGAAAGACCACATAAACATAAACTTTTGGCGCTCCGCGCGGATTGCTCGGACCCGCGCTAGGGCCCCCCCCGGCGGCGCCTCCGGCGCCGCCCCTGGCTTGCTCTCCGCGCGCCAGGGAGGGGGTCCAGCGCGAATCCAAGAAATCCGCGCGGAGCGCCAAAAGTTTATGTTTATGTTTATTTAGTTGTTTGTTTTTCCTCCCTACTTCTAGTCAATGCAGACCAGCTTGTTGGTGAGAGCGTGTTTCTTCCATGCTTGGGGCAGAATGGGAATCATAGCCCCCGGCCCCCCCCCCTCCCCCCCTATAACGTAACGCCCCTCCCCCACCCCCGTGCGCTCCGGGCACTGCCGCCGTGCGCACGGCGTGGCCCCTCCCCCACCCTATTAGTGCCCATAATCGCCGAAAATAAAGCAACGCGGTCTAATGGGGGGTGATCTAAATGGCGCTCCGCAAATCAGAGGTGTAAGTCGGTGCTCGGGGGGTGCGGATCGACGCTCGGGGGTGACCTAAATGACGTAAGGGGGGGTGCAAATCATCGGCGCTCAGCAACCCCAGAGTGGTGATTTGTGGAGCGTGCCGTCCTTGAGAGATGGCAGCGACACATGCTGAGATTCGGGTGTCCAGGCAGGGAGTCCATGAGCGGCTCATGTGGCAGCATGTCTGGTGCCCTTCACACAAGATGGTAAACTTCGTCATGCCATACCGGCGCAGCTCTCGTGGAAGCTGGACGCAGTATTTCGGCTCGTTGTCGCGAGCGGGGGCCCGTGCTCACTGCGCCGTGCTGGAGGTAACCCTGCACCCAGACAGCGGCACCGGGGCCTCGGCGTTCCGCCCCTCCGTGCAAACCGAGGGAGGTCCGCCCAATCTGGTGGTGGGAGCGCGCCAGAGCCAGAACCAGCCCACCTGCAGCTCGCCTGACATGATTCGGGAGGGAAAGAAACACAGACACAATCAATCGGCTATTCACCAGAAAATATGGGACAATATGGGAAGTGGGGGGAAGACAAAAACCCAGAAAATATTGGAAAATGTGGGAAGTCCTTTATTTGTGTGTATTTATTTGTGTGTCCCAGGGCCCCTTCAAAGGTGTTATCCCAGCGTCGTGAGGTGGAACAGACGGAGGATCCTGCGGGTGCGGCTGCGGGTGCGGCTCGCGGGGCCCGGGAGCAGGAGGAGGAGGAGGAGGATGAGGAGGAGGAGGGGGAGGAGGAGGGGGGGGAGGAGGAGGAGGAGGAGGAGGAGGAGGAGGAGGAGGAGGAGGAGGAGGAGGAGGAGGAGGAGGTGGAGGAGGAGGAGGAATGGAATGGAATGGAATGCCCTCGAAAGGGGGAGTGCACAGCACTAAGGTCTGATCAAATCAGAGTGACTAGCCAGCTTGTCTGGCTTCCTTCGTACGTATTCGGTCCAAAAGGGCCGCCATTCTTTGCTCGTAAGTGGGTACTTCCCTGGAGGCCGAGAAGACAACTGGCACTACCGTAAAGTCAGGCATGCTCACCGAGGGGGCCGACTCGACCGAGGAGGCGAGCGAGGGGAGGCCAAAGCTACGTCCCAAGAGCGCCCGTACTCGACGGTTCGGCGGCTTACCCTGGTAGTAACGACTTTAAACCTCCTGACCTTTCTTAGTGGGCTTCTCGTCTGGCCTTATGCAGGGTTTCGCCAGCTTAACGGCACGGCCCTGGGACCAGGCTCCACAACGCAGACAAATCCAGCATCGCTTCTCAGGGGCGTTCGCTCCCACGATAGCCGAGGAGGCCAGTTGATCGAACCGCAGCCCAGCCGTCACGACGATGTGTCCCATGGGGTCCCTGAGAAGCCTTCTGATGCCGACTGGGACGCCTATGCATCCGTTCAGCTCCAACTGAGACTGGTCATCTCCTCCCAACTTAAGGCATCTCCTGCACTGGTAGCCGAGGGTGGGATGATTGTGCCAGTCATGAAACTGCTGCCTCACCGAGGATGTGTTCCTGCGGCGCGGGGCGGCACGCGTCCACCTCGTCGACGCTTCGAACAAAGGAAGCACAAGAGAGGCGAGCTTGACGAAGTGATTCACGCGCTCCTCAGCGAGCGACACAGACTGAAGGAAGAGAGGATCAGCAGAAGGATGAACTGACAACGCCATCTTCGCATGGTGATCGACAACGGCATTAGCAACTGCATATTCACGCTCCGTCATTTCCAGAGCTTCGATCTCCTGACTGGATCGGTGTGCTTTAACGTGGCGAATTCGTTCGGTGAAACTCGTACCTTCCAGTGACTGAGCGAAAAGCCTGATGCCTGCAAACTTCGAAGATGCTCTCAACTGCTTTTCGACACTGCTCTGCGCAATCAGTATGGCTGACGCGCAGTCGGCAGCAAGAACAGTTCGCTTGTTCGCCACCTGACCGCACAGCGCGATGGCAACGTGCTCCGCCATAGCTGGCGTCTGGGGAAAAGCGCCGTGGACCACGCCACGCATTACGGCAACGGGCTCGGGCTGATGCCCGCTTGCAGGCAGCACTGCAATGGCCCACGGCGCTCGCTGGAGCGCGCGGATCGGAGGCTTCGAGCGTGAGCCGTCCGAGGCAAGTCTTAAAAACCGCCCCCCCCCCCCCCCCCCCCCCCGACAACTCAGAAATCCTTTCAGGTTCCAAAGACAGCGGGCTTCCAGAAACGTTAAAAATCTCGACCTCCGACGAAACAGAAGGTTTTGGCAGCTCGCTGTCAGGATAAACAAAAATGCACCTGGTGAAAATCTCCAGCTCGGGCTCTGCACGAGCCGCTACCATGAACTCCCTTGGGACTTCAGCCTCTTCTCTAGCTCGGGCCACGTCCTCGCGGGTGCACTCATAGAGTCTGTGATGGAGCGTGTCGACCTGACCGCGCGAACAACGACCGTCGGTGGCGTAGCCCGCGCGACGACCTCTCTCGTTGGTCCACACTCCATTGCATGCACAGCTCCGAATCAAAAACTTGGCTTTCTAGCTTGACCCCCGAGCCTTCGGCCCCACACGAGATCTAATCAGATCCAGGGTGGCCCTTTGCCCTGGGGGGTGACCTAAACTACTGGCTAATTTCATCTCATGCTCTCGCTGAATTCCCATCGCGGGCTGCTCGGCTAGGAGGGCGGGCGGGGTTTGATCCACTAGGACCTGCAGTCCATTGTGACCGCGCCACTCAAGTGGGCCCCTGGCCTCCCAACCCGCCCTTGAGAGCGCTAGCACCGCGCGAGCCAAAGGCCCCCTCGAGGCACGCCGCGGACCAGCCTCCAGAGGCCTCGCCGCATCCCAAAGACGCAACAGCTCACCACGACTGGCTAGTGCTCTCAGGGGCTGTGTCCTCGCAAACCAGATCATTCTACACCACTGCAAGGCTGGGGCAACTGCGATTTTGAAACTGTGGTCCCCTAACAAGACTAGCTTCGCCGACAGAGGCGCCCCTCCGTGGGCAGGCGAAAAAGCGCAGCGCTGCAGTCTTTGGTGGGACTTCCATTCGCTGAGGCTTAAACCAGTAACCTCGGCTCCAAAACTGCTGGCTGGTGAAACCCCAGCTCCAAAGACTTTGGCGAACGGGGCCTCCTTCTCACCTCCGCGAAAAAAATCGTCTAAAACGCTTGACTTTCCTAAGCCTTAGACGTGCAGCTGCAAATCTATTCTTTTGTTTCGGCTTTGCTCCACGAGCGGATCTCTTGAAACCTGCCGTCTCGTCCACCCCCAGGTGCGCGACGCTGTCCTTGATCGCGTCCAGGCCGGCCCCTACCTCCTGGCAGATGGCCCCGCCGAGCTCCTTCGACGAGGCTATGAGCGCTACCTTGTCCACGTTGAGCGTGGCATTGATGGAGTTGGACATATCACGAAACTCCGTGAACGACTGCGCTGCAATCCCTTTCGCAATGTCGAACGAGGACGAGGCATTTCCTATAGCCGTGTCGTCAATGTAGTTCAGCATGGTGACATGGGGACAACGATGGAGAAATGCATCCATTTCGACTACTGGATGTATCTTGATCGCACAGTCTGCAAACCCATCTCCAGCTGGAAGACCGTGCTCAGCATGCAGTGGGACCAGCGAGTGATGGCGGCCGCAGCGAATGATTCGTGGCGCTCTCCAGGTGTTGTACACAATCTTGAGCCAACATGTCGGGGCCCCCACTCGAATGCATTTCTCACGCAACAACGGCAAAGGAATCGACTCGTAATACCTGGACCAATCGATGACCCATAATGCTGAGTGAAGGGAGTCTGCCTGGTTGGCTTCAGCTCGTGCTGCTTGAAGCCATGCACAGTCGATTGCTGATCTGCCCCTGGACGCTCCCCAGAACTTTCGCTCCAAACTGTCTATCACTCCAGAGACCATGCTGCGCCTGGCGCGCTGCCAGACCCTGTGCATGCCAGCATACAAGATGATCAAACGATTGTCTCCAGTGGGC